TTTGGGTGGACAGGAGCATGATTCCTCACCAGTTCTTGCAAACACTTAGGTCTCCCTTCTTTGGAAGTTTGACAAGATAGCCCTTCTTCCACTCTGCAGGCAGGTACCTTTCCTTCCTTCCTTCCTTCTTTCCAAACATTGTGCAATAGTGGTGTGAGCATTTCCGCCGTTGTCTCTGCGTCCGTTTTCAGTGATTCTGGTAGAATTACATCTGGTCCTGATGCTTTCACGGATTTCAGCAACTTTATGGCGTTCAGGACTCCACTTCTGATTTTGTCGGAGGGCTTGTGTACACTGGTAGTTCTGTGGCTGGGCTGTTGGTAGTATTTCTGGACGAGTTGCAGGTGATGGTGGTGGTCGATTCAAGAGTTTTTTGAAGTGGTCAGCCCATCGTTTCCTTTGTTTCTCCTCTTTGGTAACTAGGTTTTCTTCACTATCTTTTATTGGTTTCATCTGTGTTGATCTCTTCCCTCCTCCCTGGTTATTTGATATAATGTTGTCAGGTCTCTCCTACCTGCAGCCTGTTCTGCTTCACTTTTCAGTGTGTCGTAAAAGTGTCTTTTGTCTTTGCACGCACTCTTCTTCACTTCTTTGTCTAGTGTAGTGTTTTGTATGTTGTGTTCAGTTCCTCTTCTTGTTGTTCATCCTTGCACTGCACTACACTGGTTCATCTTCTGCCTCATCATCTTCCTCCTTCCTTTCTAACACGGTTATGCAGGTTTCTTTCCACATAGCTTTCAAAGAGTTCCAGTGTTCTTCCACGCAGGTTCCCTCACGGATGTTGCTCAATTTCTCCCATTTATTCCTCATGGCTGACGTGAAGATGTCCTTTGTAGTTTCGTCCTTCAGTTCAGTTTCTGTTCTGGATGTTCAACTTGAACTGCCGTCTATCACCAACTTATTTGAAGGCTTCCAACTTGATTTTGAAGGTAGGTTCCTTGCACTAAAGCTTCCCACTGCATGAGAGAGAGTCTTCGATGCTCTTGGGGACATCATGATAGCCACTCCATAACTTCGTGTTCTCGTGGTTGTCGTGTGGGTGACAATATCGAAGTAGATTATTGACTCTCTAGTTGACAGTTTGGAGAGTCCACTTCCATTCTATCTGGTTTCTTAGATTTGTAGCACTTCTACGCTATACCTTCTCATCTCCTTTGCAATCTGGGCAGCTTTGCCAGCCAGCTTCGATTATTGTGCGGACATTCCATGTCCCCATGTTTACTTTCGCTTTCGTCGAGAGGAGCAAAGATACATCTGTCAGTGGGCTTCCCGAAGGCTTTCACCAACTGGCGTCATTTCGTGTCTCTGATTACAGCGAGGAATAAGTTGACTTATATTTCATGGTGCTTTGAAGTTTGCTTAGAGGTTGGATTGGTTTTACGGGGTAGGGTAGCTAGCCCTGTGCCCAACCTTCCCTCTTTATCTGGGCTTATGGCTGGCTAGTTAACTAGGCGAGGTTAGTAACAATAGTGATAATAAATTGCATTGGTAACAGTGACAATAAAAATGGTAATTTTAAGCAACGGGTCCCTTTTGTAAATTTGAACAGCGTAAATAGGGGCGAAGATTATCTCAAAGAGGCCAGGCCAGTGAAGTAGTAATTAGGTGTTTTTTAAGATTCTAGATTGTGTAGTCTCCCAACCTTCCACCTGAGCTTAGGAGCAAAAGAATTGGAAAGAAACCAAGCAGGTTTCACACCTGATACAGCGTGTGGGCACCAGGAGATGTACCGTACAAAATAATAAGACAACTCTTTCATACGAGAAAAAGTGGACAGAAATAGGAGTGTTGATGAGTTGTTAAAAATTAGCAGCCTCAGGCCTACCTGCAAATGAATACAACTTTTTTTTCACTTCTAGATAGTAGAAGAAGAAACTGGTTTTGTTTCTAAAGCATGACTTAGTATTCATTCATTACCTGATTTTGAAACAAAAACAATCATTGGTGTTAAAATTCAACAGTATTTCTTTATTCAGATATTTGTTGTACGTCATTGTACGAAATATTTCATCACAGTGTCTCCATTGAAAGGAAAGGCGGTCGTTGTTGAACATAAACTTCTAATATCTATCGAAAAGAGAAAAGGATGGTGGAGATTTTAAGCTAGTAAAGATTTCACAGATTACTTGACTATCAACTATTTTATATAAATCTTCATCGTTTTCGAATGCCTAGACGTTACTCGCGAAAACGATAGTTGTACTTAGTTTATAGAGAGAAATTGATATTTCTATATTAGATTTGTTTATTTGATATAAAGCGCACAGTGATACAGTATTATGATTATGATTATGAGCAATAATTTATGCTCGAAACGTAATCAATTAAATAATACTGTATCACTGTGCGCTTTATATCAAATAAACAAATCTAATATGGAACTACATTCTACCACAGTGCCCAAGTTTTTCACTTATATTAAAGAAATTGATATTCTTTTTGAACATATGTGAGCAGAATTTCACCTTATAACCAAATAATTAAAATATAATTAGAAGACAGATTATCTGAAAAATGTTGATATTTTCGCTCGATACATTTCGAACCATCTGATCACACATTTACTTGTTAAGGCATTTTATGTGAAAACTGGAAGTGGGGGAGGGACAAATATGACATGAAGGAATTCAACAAGACCCAAGACAAAGAAGCATCCTAACTTCACAACACTTCAAAGCCCTAAAAGGACTTCGAAATAGATCTGATGTAATCATTCTCAAACTCGATAAAGGGTCAGGTGTGGTTGTGACGGACAAATGTGATTACAAAAACAAGATGATATCCATCCTTAGTGATGAAAATGAATTTATGGCTGATGTTCCGTCGGACGACCTTAGAAAATTAGAATGCAAAGTAGCATCTAGTCTTGATTATCAATGTTATCAACAAGGAAGAATTCACATCCTTCAAACCAGTGGGGTCTGAGCTACCTAGTCTGTATAGATTGTCTAAAATTCATAAAACAATCCTTTACGTCCCTATACTCTCCATGTTCTGTTCACCTACACATAAAGTGGAAAAATGGTTAGCAAAAACTAATTCTTATTCGAAATGAATTATGTAAGTTTTCTTTAAAGGATACTTTTGAACTTGTTGATTATGTTAATGATATTAATATCAAAGATAAGAGGTTGTATTCATTTGATGTCACTTCCTTATTTACTAATGTTCCCCTAATTAAAACTATTGACATTCTTTGTGACCATATGTCTTCCAGTAGTCCTTCTTTCCCTATTCTCTCAACGTGTTTGAGAAAGCTGTTATTGTTATGTACTGAAGGTGAGCATTTTCGACAATAGATGGTTAGCCATGGGAAGTCCCTTAGGACCATTGTTAGCTGATATTTACATGTCACACATTGAAGACTTGACCGGCGATCTCATCAGTGAAGTTACTCTCTATAAGAGATATATTGATGATATAATCGTGATATGTGACAAGCATGAAGATGCGACATGTTTGTTAGAAAGACTTAACATCCTACAAAACAACATAAGCCTAACATGTGAAGAAGAGAAAGAAAACCATCTGCTCTAACTGTCTGTTCTAATTCGTAGAAATGATGGTTCAATAAAACGGTCGATTTACGGGAAACCCACTTGGACAAGTCGGTACTTAAGTTTCCACAGCTTTTCTCCAACCCAATGCAAGCGAGGTTTGGTAACTTGCCTATTTAAAAGGATCGAGCGAATTTGTACGGAGGTCTCAATGGATGATGATATCAAAATACTAACGGAAACGTTAGTGGAAAATGGATGTCGATTGAGATTCATAAACCGCTGCAGAAAGCATCCAGGATTGAGACCTAATCTTTACTCTGTTTCGATGAAATGTATTTACATCGCGTTACCATACGGAGTAGAATCTAACAGCATGATATTAAGACGAAGGTTAAGGTCTGCTGGAAGCAACATGTATTATGCAGCTAAGCTTATCGTCGTTGAGAAGACCAAACAGCTACTGCAACTTGAACCTCGACACTGTATAAGCGATCGCGTCACATCCCACTGGGTTTTTAAATTTACATTTGTGTGTGGACTAACATACATTGGAAGGACTAATCGTGATCTGCACTTGAGGGTAGCAAATATGTTCCAAAATGGCTACGAAAGCAGCTGTATTTACAAACGTTGATAAGCGCAGGTGGCAGACAACCATCATCATCCACGGCAAAACATAACATTGATAAGGGTCGCAGGATTGATATTAAAACAGGCTTTACAATTTTGTATAGAAACTGCAAGGGGCGTTCACTTAAGTTTGATGAGGCGCTAGCCATAAACAAACATTACCCCCTGCATTGTGTCCGCAAAAACAGTTTGTCCTTACGCTGAGCCTATCTTGGTAATGCTTATTTTATCGTATCTCTATGATTGACTTCAGAGCTTGTCTTTTTTCCTTTCATTATCTTTTTTATTATTGAGTTCCTTTATGTCATATTTGTCCTTCCCCTACTTCCAGTTTTCATATAAAATGCCTTAACAAGTAAAATGTGTGATCAAATGGTTCGAAATGTATAGCGCAAATACATCACATCTTTCAGATAATCTACGTCTTCTAATTACATTATCCAAATTCATAAAAGAGGCTAATCGTTTCAAATAATTAAAAGCTTCATTTTCCATATGTCTTAGTAATCTGTGATGTAGAAAGTAGTGATGTGATATAATATAGAGCCAACTGCATTGAATCGAGCTGCTTCTACTGACCAATCAGTCGTACTCGGATGTGTACTCAAAGTTCGACAAAGGATTTGTCGTCAATGAATCTTGCTATTTGATCGAAAGATGTACAGAACAGAACATAGATTGTTTCATTTTTAGAAAATTTACGCAGAGCTTCAACGTCTGCAGTTCTCCGCGGAAAATACTTGTTATTTTTCTCAGTTTCATTTTATATCTATCCGATATTCAGTATACCCGTGAAAAGAACAATACAGTTTTTGTCCTGATTTCGAAGTTATCATAATTCTTTCTGTATATTATTCTGCTTTGTTCAAGGAAATGGAGAAGCTGGTGGACGAAGGTTTGGTAAAATCTATCGGACTGTCAAATTTCAATAAGCGACAAATTGAAAATATTCTGAAACACTGTCGTATTAAACCAGTGAATTTACAAATTGAAATTCATGCAAATTTCCCTAACACTAAAATAGTTGAATATGCGCAGTCGATTGGACTAACTGTGACTGCATATGCACCATTGGGTTCACCTGCTCATTCACCGTTAGTTTGTCATAATTTTTGTTTTAAAAATTCACACTATAGTCATTTTGATGCTATTGGACCTTGTTTTTATCCACCAACTATCATCGGTTATTAGGTTGAGCAACCTCGCCTGGTTAACTAGTTCACTAGTTACTAGCCCTTCCTAAGCCCGGGTAAAGAGGGAAGGTTAAACATAGGGCTAGCAACCCTACCCCGGAAAACAAATCTAACTGCTAAACAAACTTCAAAGCACAAACGAAATATAAAAAATAATAACAAAATTATTCCTCGCTGGAATCGGAGAGACGAAATGACGCCGGTTGGTGAAAGCCTGGCTTCGGGAAGCCAATTGGCCCATGTGTCTGTGCTTCTCTCGATGAAAGCGAAAGTAAACGTGGGGAGATGGAATGTCCGCACCATGTTTGAACCCAGCAAGGCAGCCCAGATTGCAAACGAGATGAAGAGGTATCACATTGAAGTGCTTGGAATTTGCGAAAGCAGATGGATGGAAGTGGACTCTCCAAACTATCAACTGGAGAATCAATAATCTACTCCGATATTGTCACCCAGATGACAACCACGAGCACACTGAGTTATGGAGTGGCTATCATGATGTCCCCAAGAGCATCGAAGGCTCTCATGCAGTGGGAACCAATCTCCTCCAGGATCATGACAGCAAGGTTCAACTCAAAAGGAAGGAAGGAAGGAAGGTCACAATCATACAATGCAACGCTATGCACCTACAAATAATGCAGAGCAAGAGAAAGAGGAGGAATTCTACAGACAACTGCAATCAACACTGGACAAGACCATACCCCAGATGGTGACATCAAAATTCTAATGGGTGGGGTGACATGAATGCCAAACTGGGGAGGGGACAACACAGGAAGAGAACTAACCACGGGTCGAGAAGCGCTCGGTGAGGTGATGAACGAGAATTGAGAATTGTTTGCAGAATTCTGTGCATTCAACGATTTGGTGATTGGAGTGGGGCAGTGTGTTCAAGCACAAGGATATCCACAAACCGACATGGATTTCACCAGACACCAGAACACACTAAAAATCAGATCGACTTCATCTCAATGTGAAGAAAGTGGAGATGCAGTCTACTTGACACAAGATCAGATGAAGAACAGGAGCAGATGTAGGTTCACACCACTCACTATCGTGCAAAGAACCTTCCAAATCAAGTGGAAAGCCTTCAAGGTAGCTGGTGACGACAGATCACAGTTCAAGTACAACACTCGGAACAGAAAGTGAAGGACGAAACTACAAAGGAAATCTTCACGGCAGCCAGCCATCAAGACAAAATGAGAGATATCGAGGAACATCCCTGAAGAAACCTGTGTGGAAGAACACTGGAGGTCTTTGAAAGCTATGTGGAAAGAAACCTGTACAGCCGTATTAGGAAAGAGGGAAGAAGAAAGAAGATAAGGAATTGACCTCGACGGATCTCCACATGGAAGCTGATAGAGCAGGGAGAGGAGGATGGTGAAGCAGAAGATGAACCAGTGCAAGGATGCTCAACGACAAGAGGAACTGAGCACAATGTATCAAACACTACACTGGACAAAGAAGTGAAGAAAGTGCACGCAAAGACAAAAGGCACTTCTACAAAACACTGGCAAGTGAAGCAGAACAGGCTGCAGGTAGGAGAGACAGTGTCCTGACAACATTGTATCAAATAATCAGGTTACTATCTGGGAGGGAAGAGATCAACTCAGACGAAACCAATAAAAGATGATGACGGAATTTAATTACGAAAGAAGAGAAACAAAGAAAACAATGGGCTGACCACTTCAAGAAGCTCTTGAATCGACCACCAGCATCACCTGCAACTCGTCCAGAAATACCACCTACAACCCAGCCGCTGAACTACAAGTGAACATAAATCCTCCAACGAAAGTGGAAGTCCTGAAAGCCATGAAGCTACTGAAATGTGGGGAGCAGCAAGACCAGATGGGATCCTGTCAGAAGCACTGAGAATAGACGCAGAGATAACAGTGGACATGCTCACACCACTATTGCACAAGGTTTAGGAGGAACGAAAGAAAGAAAGGTACCTGCCTGCCGAGTGGAAGAAGGGTTACCTCGTCAAACTCCCGAAGAAGGGAGGCCTCAGTGTTTGCAAGAACTGGCGCATAATCACGCTCCTGTTCACCCAGTGCAAGCAAAATATTAAGCCGCATCATCTTGGAGAGACTAAATGATGCGCTGCATTCAAACCTACGACCGGAATAGGCTGGCTGGCTGGATTCAGGAAGTACAAATCATGTGCAGACCAAATTGCAACGCCATACCACGCATCGTCATAGAACAGAGTATAGAATGACAGTCAACTCTCTACCTGAACTTCATCGACTTTGAGAAGGCCTTTGACAGCGTCGACCGACAAGTAATTTGGAAACTGCTTCAATACTACGGAATACCACAAACCTTTATCAGCCTCATTCAACAATTATATGAAGAAGCCCTATGCCAAGTAATTCACAATGGGAAGGTGAGTGATGCTTTTGAAGTGAAGACAGGAGTGGAACAAGGTTGCCTACTATTCCCCATGACATTCCTGATTGTGGTGGACTGGATCATGCAACAAACAGTGAGGTGTGAGAAGAGGGGCATACGCTGGACCACGGAAAGGATTTCGCCGATGACTTGTGCCTGATGTCACACAAACTTGAAGATCTACAGACGAGAACTAACAAGTTGGCAGAAGAGGCAGGGCAGCGAAGGAAGACGGGACTTTAAGTGAATACAGAGAAGACAGAGGTAGAGGTGATGAAGATACCCAACCAACGCCACCACCATCAACAACAAGCTTCAATCACCATGAACGGGAGAAACCTAAAGGAAGTAGACTCTTTCACCTATCTAGGCAGCACTATTTCAACTACAGGCGGCACAGACGGGGATGTCAAAGTCAGAATCGGAAAAGCAAGACAGGCGTTGATTAGCCTGAAACCAGTGTGGAGATCTTCTGCACTCCTCTCAGCATGTGGAACAACATCCGGATTTTCAACACCAACGTCAAATCAGAGACTTGGTGCGTTGCAAAAAGCATTTCCAACAAACTACAGACATTCATCAACAACTGCCTACACTGGCTGCGTTACTGAAGATCAGATGGCCAGAATGAAAAGAATAAGCAACAAGGAGCTCTAGGAACGAACCAACCAAGAAGCTATCGCTGAACAAATATGCAGGAGGAAGTGGAGATGGATTGGGCATACACTGAGAAGGCCGACTGAGGACATTATGCGTCAGGCCAGTTGCTCGAGTGGAACCCAGATGGGAAGCGACGAGTTGGGCGTCCGTGGTGAGTGTGACGTGGAGGAGGAAATGAGAGCTTGTGGGCTGTTGTGGAACCAGGTTGAAAAGATTTCAGAGAACAGAGTTCACTGGAGATGTGCTATTGAAGCCCTATGTTCCATTAGGAACCCAAGGGAATAATAATAATAATAATAATTAGGTTGAGCCCGTTTACGAAGGAAATATGCAATAGGCAACCATGCCTTGGTCATAGCGAATATATGCCTGCGTCTCATTCGATGTAAGAAAAATTTTGACAACAAAGCCACTACGAGTGCTGCTGGACAACGAAAATATCGAAACCGCATTCAATGAAAAATTGGCTAGGCAGTTATCGGAACAAAGCGCCATCAATCATCCAGACGAAGCTTGGTACCGTCTCCACTCTGCTCTAAAACCAGCACTGAAGACCGTAGCCGACTCCAAAAGAGTGGCTAAAAAGAGCCAATGGATATCAGCAGCTTCTTCCGAACTAATGGATGCACGTGAACGCATCCCTGCCTGCAGGCTCTGAGTACAGTGAAGAGCGAGCACAGCTCAAAATCATAATGAGAAAAAGTCTAAACGGACCACGAACAGTGATGGGCAGCGAAGGCTAAAGAGATATCGAAAAGGCGGCGGCGATTGGTAACAGTAGACGGTTATTTATACTTATTAAGAGGCCTGAGGAAAAAGGGAAACAATGGTTAGTGAGACTACAGCGGAGAAGGACGGGTCTGCTATTCACTTGCAAATGTGTATCCACTAAATGTTCACACTGCACCAGGTTTTGAAACACAGACATGCTTACCGACGCCCAACAATAGCTGTATTTCTCGATCTGAAGGCAGCGGCATTCGACTCCGTTGATCGAGAAGTCTTATGACGATGTCTCACTGAAAGACGTGCTGAGCAAGTACGTCGCCTTATTGAAGGCTCTCTACTCGAAAACTTGTGTGCTTTTTAGAGCCTATAGTGAGATGTCCAGGGAGCTGTGCTCATCGAGTGGTGTCCGTCAACGATGCCCACTCTCTCTATTCCTATCCAATTTTATCATACATTTTCTTATGGAGGTCTCCCTCTCGTCACCTAATTACACAGAGGTTGACCTAATCGCAGGAGAACTTTCGTTAGACCTAGAATATGCACATGACAAAGTCCTGTTGAGTGAAGAAGCTGACAAGATGCAGAGTCTTCTGGACACTGAGTGGCAAATTGAGAATGTTTGGAATGCGTTTCTCACCACCATCACCATCACCAAATGCAAATTGCTGTCCTAGGATTGGTCTTCAACGGTGCCATGGCTAACAATACAGAGTGTAGTGGTTGAGTGTGTCGACCACTTCACTTACCTGGGAAGTGGGATCAGCCCTGCCCTGGTGGCTAGCTCAGTGGCAGATGAAATCTTTGCACGAATACAAAAGGCTCGATTGGCTTTCGCCAACTTACGCCACCTATGGTGCCGCCGTGATATCCGATTGCCCACTAAGTGTCGCATGTACTGCACAGCAGTCCGCTCTGTTCTACTGTATGCCTGTGAAACATGGCCATTGAAGGTGAAAGACATGAGACAGCTGGCTTCAGGTGTTTGACCACCGTTCCCCTCGTAGTATAGGCCGTATTCCGTGGTGTCACCACATGAGTAACACAGAAGTCAGACTCAGGTGTAGAGTTCTAGGGAGAAGATATAGTCAGTTGACGAGGTTATGAACCTTCATCGACTGAGATGG